CTTTTGGCTTTAATCTCTTAGAGTTAAGACGGACGAATGCATTTATTAAAGCCAAAAATCATATCTGATTAATTACTAGAGTATTTATTATTATTTCTTTCTCCTATTAGGGATTTTTCTGGTAAATATCTTTTTATAATAAGATTCATTGTATTCTTTGGATCCGTATCTTTGAATTAAAGAAACACTAAATGAACGCACATATATTTATGTATGTACGTGTATGTCAGTATAAAGATATCTTTTAAGACATCTTCTTTTTACTTGAGGAATTTCCCATTGAATAATCTATTCATAGTGATGCCTATTGTAACATTCGGGATAGTCCTTGAATTAAACAAGAATTAAATAAACCTATGCATACGTACGTATTAGTATTCCCCAAGAGATTAATTATCAATTGCTAGGATATCTCTTTTTTTATTGAGAATTTTCCCAGTGAATATCTCCTCGTAATAATGTCTATTGTATCTTTTGGAATTATTCTTGAATTAATGGAAAACCAAGTGTACACGCGTGTACTTTGTATCGATATCTGATTATCAAGTATTCAAGGATATTTCATTTTTTATTCAAGAGCTTCCCAGTGAATCTATCTATACCAATATTCATTTTATCTTATAGAAGTTTAATACTTTAGTATAAAAATGATTCTTTAGTATAAAAATTACAAGAAAAATATCATTTAGTATTAGTCACCATTAATAAACTCTCAACTATCTTTAAGTTCATTCATCTTTTGCACGCACGCATCGATTCAGTAAGATTGGCGCGTCTGACTTTGTAATTATTAATGGAACTTCTCACGAAACAAGTGTCGTTGACTGTTATTCTCACGCCGTATTGGCTTTATTCATCGCTAAGCAACTTTCGAACTGACATCATATCTATCGGTCCATCACGGTTTTATCTGACCGAATTGCGATTTCTCCGAATCCAAGTTACGTCCGACCCCATTCTCCGAACCGATCCTAATTGGCGAACAATTCTCGTCGACGGCGATTTTAACTAAAACGTGTCGGTATGCAACGAAGAGATGCCACTTTTCCTCCCTCCACGGTTCCTCTTTCACTTCCTCCCTCGTGCGTTACGTAAAGGTCCACTTAAGATCCAGCTAATCCAGCCAGCCTAACCGTGAATAATTATGTAAGTGATGATCCCATTAGGCGTGAAATAGGTCCTATCCTATTTTCGGCCAAGTCCTGACGTTCACGGTCTGTCAGAAAAGCCTGTCATCCCTCGTTGTCCTTTTTAAATTCGAAGAATTTGAGGTTTTTAAGTGCTTATAGAGCTATAGTAGCTAATATTTCTCGAAGGTAAAAGGATTGTTTCTATATATTCTTACAAGCCTGGAAAATTCGAAAGAAATGGAAGCACCTTTTATAATGACGAACGTAGAAAATTGGGCGGATGAATGATGATCACACTTATCGATTATCTATATGTATATTGGTAATTAGAAAATGAAAATTTTGAAATCCAGCTTTGGTAGTTCTAGCGCTGAGCAAGTATCGCTGTAAATACGATTCTATCGCTGTTTATGAAATAACTGCCTGCAATTTCATTTGCGTAATATTAATGTTAATGGCCATTAAAAATCTTTGCAAATTTTTCAAACTCCTCGCCGAGTTCTAGGCGTAATATAAGCATTTCCATAACTTGTATTGCAACATTCTCTCGCTAAATTGCCATATCTTTTATCGAAAGAAGTGTCAATTGCGGCAATTAACAAGCGGTCACCGATTCTTCGTCGAAGGAACTCCTTAATCCCCTTCGTAATTATCAGTGGCAGAGGATAATAAGCGGCACGATAAATTTCTATCATAACCCGTTGATATTATCCCCGTTGGTTTCGTAATACAGACTGGCCTCAATAGGCTCCTTTAATCTCTCGATGTAGTTTTAAGAGATCGTAAATAATGCTCGATGTTTGCCCTACCTAATTCTCCGTCCACGCGTTTTTACTTCAGCCTCCTATATCCATTTTTATTTCTTCTATCTTAGGACGCGTGTATGTGTGTGAACGAAGCACGACCTTAAACGCAACGCAGTCGCGTTTTGATCGCTTTAATTTTAATGGACTATAATCCATCATCTGGAGAGTCATTCCAGCGGCCGTTTCAGATCCATTAAGCGCACTTTCCAATTGAACTTTTAAGCCCACACCCACCGCTGAAGCTGTTTAGACACGCATCAGGGTTTGTGCAGTTAGTTTATTGGATTATTGCGCGAGCACGCGAACGCGCGCGCTTCGTTACCGCCAACCATTTTGCGAATTAAAGCGATGCCATGGACAACGTTGGAGGTCACGTTGCAACGGGCGCAACATTTTTCCTCCTGGTTTTATTTCTGTGCTCTCTTTGTTTCGTTGATTGGAATGATTGAATGCACTTGTGCCTCGACGAAATGATCGGTATTTTCGAAGCGATTGATCGAAGGTCTACGCTTTCAGCTGTTTCCATTTAAAGATTATAGGAAAATTTACTAAAATTTTATGGCCGCTGATTTGATTAATTTAGAAATTCTCCACAAGATAAAATAGCAATACACGTGTAATACATAATACTCGTATCTTATAATTTGGATGTTATTTCATAAACTATTAATAATAATTGATATATTTATGTCAGTTGATATAAACTACATTTAACCAAATATAGCACAAAATCATTATAAAACTACCCAGGGAGACACTTCTTACTTTATCCTTTTCTCATCAACGAAATTTATAGTTAAACGAATATCGAAACGATAAATCATCCAGGTAACTGGATCCTGAGTATCGTGAAAAGAGAAAATCACGAAAGGTGTGGTTATCGCGAGACCGACAATGATTAATTTTTATCGCGTGATTTAATTGGAAAATTACAGTTTACCAGAACTCGTTGGTTCGTTGAGAATTACGCGATGGATGTGAAAATTACTGTCGTGAGAATGTTTCAGCCAATCTGTATGCAGATCAGCGACCCCTTCCGAAATCTCTTCATTATCTCGCGAATCAAGCGTGTCGATCGTCGCGTACAATTACCTGTGAAGTGTAATATTTAACAGCTGCCCCTAATGATACCCTTCCTTAACGAATTACTGACTGAGATAAATGATCCTAGTTTTTCTGTGGATTTCGCGAATTTTTCAAATCTGTTATTTTAAATCCTTGATAAGTTGTTAATGTTAGATACATAGTCAATGTTATTATTAGATCTCAAATGATCACTTTTTTATGGCAAATTCAAGAGAGCAGGAACGTGCAACATTTTGTATGAAAACGCCTTCAAAGAATTACTACTCCTCTTTCACTATTCAAATCATACATAAATGGTTCCTCATTTTCATTACTTTCATAAGAAGTTTCTAAAAGGATTCCGGAGGCTTTCGAAAATTATCGGAACAATTATGCACAGTAGTATATATAACAAAACAATCTCCAAAATTATCTTCTTTTTTTCACCGCTACAAACGGATAAAAATTATCCCAGCTTCCATTATTTCCATACGAAGTACATAAAAGCTGCGCGTGCCCACGCACAGAATCATTCGAACGATTGTTATAATAATGTAGATGATGTAATATATTCATATAATAGGGAAATATCAAACAACCTGAAATATCCTCCCTTTTCTCGCCGCTAAAATCGTACAAAAATTATTCTTCGCTTTCATTTCGTTACTTTTATACGAAGTAGGTATCTAAAACGGTTTCACGGGTCCATTGAAAAAACGAAAATTTCGCCTTGATATCCACGATTCCGGCGATAAAGTGTCGAAACGGGGTCGCGTGACGCTATCAGAAGGCGGAAACGGAATTTTTGCAGGAAACGCGCCGAGCTCGCTGACGAAGGAACAAACTCCGGTGAACACGTTGTCGTGGCACGCGTTCGGCTTGCAAGCGACGTCACGGAAAAGAAAAAAATGGGAAGAGAACGCGGTGTGCCACCTCGGAACAAGGCGGCCATTCACATCGAGCCGCCTGTAATTAACGTCAGCTGCTATAGGCGGCCTTTGAGTACTTCCACTTACGCGCCTCGGCGCCGCGGCTCACTTCGCGTCGGCGTATTTACACGCCTGTAAACACGACCCCCTTTTTTTGTCCTTTTTCCATATTTCCATAGGCTAGCTGGTTCGCGGTTTTATTCAATCGTGACGACAGCTTCGATCCATGAGATCATCTTGAGCTCAGACGTAAAGAACCAAGAGGAGGGGGTTCAAAGAGGTTCGAAGTCCGTTTATTGGCAGCCGTGAGATTGATTATTCGAACGTGTCGAGGGTTAATGATTAGTCGACGATTCTGCAGCTATTTTACGGGTTCAAAGGTGGAAAGCGGGATAATACCCTCCTTAATTCCACTTTGTCTCTCGCTTGTTTATTAGAGCTTTGGATAAATTTTGTTTCTGAATGAGAATTGATAAACATTCATCTACAGGCAAGCGATGCAACATCGTTACAATTGCATAGTGATGACGGTGTATACTTAGGCAGATTTATTGTCAGTGATGCGATGTACACGAGTGTTCGATCTTGCTACTGAAAATATAAAACTACTAAATAAATCATGCAACGTCACTCTTAGCGTATCACAAAATCACTATGACCGTTTATATAATAAAATATCTACCATAGTATCTACGAGTTAATCCTTGATTGGATAATTAAGTTGCCGGTGACAATTTAAATTATTTAATAATTTTAATACGCTAACAAATTATCTGCTATTTAATAATGTAACGAGTTACTTAATTTTTAAGTATTTCAACTCCGTTTGTGTATTCTGTATTTTCTATGATAAACACCATCGGAAATGAACATGTGAAATACGAAATATAGAGTTAAGATATAATAATCTAAAATTATGTAATATAAATCACATCTAATTCAAACCGTTGTAATCGCCTACAATTCAATGACATCAACTGAGAGTAACGAAGAGAAAAGAATCTTCCCAGAGTAGCTATTACCAGCCAGCTTTCACCACCCATTACACTTATGCTCGTTTAATTTTCCAGGCCGAACGTGTGCAGGTCAAGATACAAGAATTACTGTTGCCCCGGTTGGTCAAAGAAGCCTGAGACCGGCCTCTGCGTAATTCGTAAGTACGGAGACCGTAGCTCGTATCTGGAATCGAGGCTCGATCATAATCGAATCTCTACGTCCCGTAATTGGACGTGATCTCACGAGCTCGAGTACATTCAATTTTAGCGTTCATTATCGAAACCGCCAAGCTGAAAGGAGCATCGCGATCATCGAGAGGCGCGCATTCGCGACGAATAATTGCATCCATTGCGCAACCAGCAAATGAGTGTTCATGCGACACGACCGATCGACTTCTCCAACGAAATTACTTTAATGGCCTGTTACACGCTTCCTGTTGATCGCATTGTCTCCACAATGCTTCTATATAGCATGGTTGCGCGCGAATGCGGTCGCGATACCGATCTCGAGTTCAAATTTCAAATGGCTTCGTGTCCTGTAATGAAATATGTGACTTTCCTCTTTCGATAAAGATTTCTTTCGTATTATGGCAATGTAAAATATTATATAATTTCTTTTAAATAATTTGTGTTTGAAAATCTGAAATTTACTAATGAAATAATATCTCTTGATTTATGAAATATGGAGCATGGAAAGAAAAATATCGATATCTTTTTAGCTATATGCGTTAGACGATGCGGCCCACTGGGCAGATGCATCAGGCCGAATATTTGCTTGTGCGATGGTGGCACAGTATCTTCGTCTTGCAGCAGCAGTCAAACCAAAGGTGAGAGAATATTTCTTTGGAATTTTAGAAAAACTAAAATGTTCACAGCGCCAAATAGGCAGCTGCAATATTTAAATTGTATTTATTAAAAGTGAACGAAAGCTACTTATATTGTAATTTTCTAAAAATAATCCATGTGTCTACTCTCGTAGTTACTACACACGAAACTGGCAACGCGTTAGATAGGGGTGAGTCTGGAAGATGCAGGGTGCATTGTATAAATGGCAACTGCGTGGATGGCAAATGTCAATGTCGTAATGGATATCAGGGCGAATTTTGTAACGAACGTGAGTCATCGAAACTTATCGTTTCGCCTAATTCCTTACAATAATTTATGCTAGACACAATTCGTGATTTAATCGTCTATTTAAAATAGCAATTTGTCGAGAGCCATGCTTGAACCAAGGAAGATGTATTGGTCCAGATCGTTGTGCATGTATCTACGGTTATACCGGTAGACGATGTGAAACAGATTATAGGTATGCGACTATTTAAGGCCCTCATATTTCGATTGGTTCGAGAGCAGTGATTTCGTTAATCTTCCTTTGCCTTTAGAACTGGACCGTGTTATACGAAAGTGAAAAATGGACAGTGTTTGGCAAATCTGCAGGGTGTCGTTTGCACGCGACAGTTGTGCTGCGCCACCGTGGGCAAGGGCTGGGGTCACCCTTGCGAAAGGTGTCCCGCCCGACTCGACTGCGAGCTGGGTCACTTGAAGACTAACCAAGGCCAGTGTGTTGGTGAGTGATTACTGGATTGCAATTTTGACAATTTATGGAGTTTTATATTTTCATAAACACGAAGAAAGAATGATAAATAAATACGAAGAATTCTATGTTATAACGAGTATTTCGCTTTTTTCGGTTATACTTATACGTATGCTTCATTTTTGTATTATGTTATTCTGAAAGTTTCTTTCGTTTTATAAGGAAATAATAGATGCACAACATTTTTTGTATTATATTATTTTATTGAATTACGTATGATCCATTTTGTACTAATGGAACAAATTTTGTAGCAACAAAACAAAATGGATCATACGTAATTCAATAAATAATATAAAACAATGTCGTGCATCTATTATTTCCTTATAAAACGAAAGGAACTTTTGGAACAATCTAATATATTAACATGTAATTGACACAAATGAGTCGAATGATTACAATTATGATATTGATGGAATTTATTTAGAATTAAAGTTATCGAATTGTTCTTGTGATAATTTTTCGTTTCGAACAATTCGAAGATAGTATTTGATTTTATATGTATAAAATTTCAACTTGTGGTGTCTGTAAATTTAAGATTCGTTGAGGTTTAATTTTATATCATCATTGATTAGATATCAATGAATGTGAGGCGATACCAGGCTTATGCGAGGGTGGCAAGTGCGTGAACACACCGGGTTCATTTACCTGCGAGTGTCCCGATGGTCAGGCCAGAGATCCCGAGACCAACTCTTGCAAAGATAGAGACGAATGTCAAGAAGAAGGAATCTGCGCAGATGGACGATGCATAAACACGAACGGTGGCTATTATTGCCTTTGTAATCCAGGATTTATCCAGAGCCAAGACCGAAGATTCTGTATCGGTGAGAACTATAAGTGATTGCAAACGAATTACAAACGACTTACTTGTGCATTCATGAAAATCATCATAGAAAATTAATCGATGAGAATCAATCATGAATATCTTCGTACGCTCTATAACCAGGCTATTTTTATATATCTATACCTTTCATAAAAATACGAAAACTTTTGTGAATGACCGTATGTATTGAACAAAATTATCGACAAAAATGATTCGCCAATAACGATATCGCCATTGACAAAATCATAGATGGAAGACAAGGTCTGTGTTACACGTCCGTGAACAGAAACGGGCAATGCAAGAATCGGCTTTCAATGAGGCTGAGCAAGAAGGATTGTTGCTGCGGCAAGAACATGGGACGTGGCTGGGGTGACGAGTGCTACATCTGTCCGAATCACGGAAGTGGTATGTAGAACGGCAAAAATGCTAAACGATACGAAAATAGCAGGCTTACGACAAATAATGAACGTTCAAGTGGAACGAACGAAAATAAAGTCACCCAGAAAGCGCAGATAATGCTGATAGTAATGGCGAGTAACGGGATCCGTGTTATTACTCAATTATAGACGATTACAACAGGCTTTGCTTGCAACAACTGCAGCCGATCATCGCGATAAACGAGTGCGCGCTGAGACCGGACATTTGCGGAAACGGGAAGTGTATAGACACAAAGGACGGATACGAGTGCGCCTGTTATCCTGGATTCACGAAGAAGGCTGGCAGATGCGAGGACGTTGACGAGTGTCTGTTGGGATATTGCCAAGGTGGTACTTGTCAGAATTACGAAGGAAGCTTCACGTGTGAGTGCCCGCCGGGATTCGTCGTTTCTGGTGAAGGCAGATATTGCACGGGTAAGAAATTCGAAGAAAAAAAAAATAAGAAAAAGAGAGGAAAATTATAAATAAAAAATAGATTAAAAAGATAGTATCGTCTGTGTCTATAGGTAGCTGATACTTTATAAAATTTATGTAAATTTGTGGAATATCATCAGAAACACATATTTCGATGGCCTTAACATCTTAATATCGAACAAATACGCTTAAAGTTAATCAAAATCAGATGTCTCCAGAAAACCAATTATCTCGTATTGAATGAATTTTTGTTTGACTTCTTTTTCTATAGATCACGATGAATGTCAGGACACCGGAATGTGCAATAATGGGCATTGCATCAACATGAACGGATCTTTCAAATGCAAGTGCAACGACGGTTACACTTTATCTCCTACAAAAAATACTTGCATCGGTAAACACAGTTTATTTTCCCTTTCCTATATGGAATTAATAATTCATGATTTTCTTAGATTTAATTAACCAATCAATCGTACATTTGCAGATATCAATGAATGTGCCGACAATCCAAGAATTTGTTTAAACGGTCGATGTGAAAACACACCAGGATCGTATCATTGTATTTGTCAATCTGGATTTACAGCCTCTCGAGATAATACGTTCTGCGTAGACATGGATGAGTGTTCAACAAGTGGAATGTGTGAGAATGGAAAATGCGTGAATATGGAGGGATCCTTCAAATGTGTCTGCGATTCTGGCTTCCGAATTGGACCGGACCAGAGTCACTGCATCGGTGTGTATTCCTATTTCTTCGTAAATGAAATTTTTTCCAACTCTGATATTGGAAAAGTAAAGATTTTATCGTTGATTAGACATCGACGAATGCTTGAGTGGCCCGTGCCAAAATGGTCGCTGCACCAATACTCCTGGTAGCTTCCGATGTGAGTGTTATTCTGGATTGAATCTGGGACCAGATGGAAGATCTTGTTTAGGTTAGTCTTGATTTATTTTCTATTTTTTAATTAAAAAAGGTTTCAGCTAATTTACATGGAAATATTCTAATTAATATCAGATACGAGGAGAGACCTATGCTATTCCCAGTACAGAGACGGACAATGCTCGAATCCTACATCGACAGCAGTAACAAAATCAAGTTGCTGCTGTTGTACTGTAATACTAGGACAACCTATGGGCTGGGGAAGCACATGTCAACCCTGTCCACTCCCGGGTACCAGCGAATTTGACGCATTGTGTCCACATGGCGCAGGAATGACTTACAATGGAGATGGTAATTACCGAAATTAATAAGAAAAACATTCTTCTTGTACTTACGGAAAATTTTTTTGTTAAAATATAAATAACTATAAAGTATAGAAATAAAAATGTATATCTGCAGAAGTATATAAACTGACAAAAGTAAATTACTAGTTACAATATTTGGCAGAAGAGATAAATTCCTATTTAGGTTCAATTCTTCATATTTATAAGAATATCAAATTACATAAATACTAATTATAGATAGAACGTAGACAGCATTGAGATATATCTTCTAAATTAATAGCAATAATTTAATAAATTATAATTAGTCAACCTACTCTCTTGTCCCTTAAAATAGATATCAACGAGTGCGCACAGAATCCGAATATCTGTGTGAACGGTGGCTGCGAGAATCTTATGGGGACCTATCGTTGCATCTGCGACAGTGGCTACGAGGTAGATGCTACAGGAAAAGTTTGCAGCGATATAAACGAATGTGAATTGGAGGAGTCATTGTGCAGTGGTGGTCAATGTCGAAACATCCCTGGGAGCTTCCAGGCAAGTAAATACTCGCGTGTTAAACCAATCTTTGATTAGGTGTAACGATTCGTCGGAAGATACGCTCTGACCAATTGAAACATTTAAGCATGATATTCGAACAGTGTGTTTGCCCGACTGGCACGAGATTCAACACGGGCAACCATATGTGTGAGGACATCGACGAGTGCGAGGAACTTGGACCAGATGTTTGTTTGAACGGAATCTGTGTAAATGTTCCGGGTTCCTACGAGTGCGAGTGTTCTCCTGGGTACATTCTGGATCACACTGGCCACATTTGCATGGGTATAATATTTAACATATATATTAAATAATTAGCAAAAAATTGAAAGTATGGAAACTTATGAGTAGATTGATATGTCTATGAGATTTCATGTTTTCGTAAGGATAATTGAAGAAGTAAACTCTAAGTAGAGATTTTTTATTTACATTTAGTACTGAAAGGAGTGAAATGGTATTATGCAAAAGTGATACAATATATCGAAACTAAGAGACTGATTGAACTTCAGAAAATACTTTGCAGCCTCTTTGTAAATCAGATTAGATATCTGTTTATTATTATTTCCTTTCAATAAATTTCAATTGAATTTTTGAGAAAATAAAAGAACGAAAATACAATTAAAATTCCTCTCAGACAACAGGAGAGGTTCCTGCTGGACCAAGATGATAGATGGTCGATGCGAGTACAATTTGCCCAGACTGGCACTGAAATCTGAGTGCTGCTGCTCGGTGGGTGTAGCCTGGGGAAGCCCGTGCGAACTCTGCGACCGTTCAATCTGCGAATGTTCTAAGGGTTACGCGAAATTCGGCGGGAAAGACTGCGTGGACGTAAACGAATGCGAATTAAACAGTGGTATCTGCAAAGGTGGAGGCACGTGCGTGAACACCGATGGATCTTATCGTTGCGAATGCCCTCCTGGTTTAACTTTAGATGCAACGCGTGAGTTCTAAAAAATAAAATTGAAAGAAATATTCTTGTCTTCTTACTTAGATATGAAAAAATGTATGTTTTCTAACATAATATTTATTTTTTATTGATATATTTATTTTTTTTAATATATTTTTCTACGAGTAACCGTTGATCTATTTTTCGTACAGATATCACTTGCATAGACACGAGGCAAGAGACTTGTTATTTGGACTATCGCCATGGACAGTGCACAAATGCGATAGAAGGACAATTTTCTAAGAGTCTGTGTTGCTGTTCTGTGGGTCGTGCATGGGGTAGCGAAAGATGCGAATCCTGTCCAAAACCAGGCACCCACGCGCATCAAGAACTATGTCCAAGAGGAGACGGTTTTACAGACAAACAGGACATCAACGAATGTATCGAGTTTCCTGGAATGTGTCTAAACGGAAGATGCAAGAACACGGTTGGCAGTTTCAGTTGCAAGTGTAACCAAGGTTTTGCATTGGACGAACATGGAATTAAATGTAACGGTGAGTTAGATATTTATACACTGCTGAAGGTATTACACTGCTGAAAATGATACTATATTTGTTCATTCGTGTGTTTGGAGTTTACTAACTTTCAATCGTGTTACAGAGTTATAATGTATATTATCTTCGTTGAAAATTTAGATTACCGAGTATTTAATGCGTTTATCTAAATTTAATTATTATTTGACTTCTTATATTAACGTTAAATAAAATTGTATAAAAATGTTTTGTATAATGTTTCAATCTCGTTACTTGTACAGACATCGATGAATGCGAGATCATGCATGGAGTGTGCGGAAACGGGACCTGCAGAAATACGCCTGGCAATTTTCAATGTGATTGCAATCCTGGATATCGCAGCAGCGATATAATGAAAATTTGCATGGGTATGTAACGTGAAATTAATCTCTTAACGCTCTCGTACTAAGAAGATCTAATTTCTCAAACCAAGTGTTCAAAATACGACTCATCGTATTGATCCACAAACATGACGAATTTCAGATATAAACGAATGCGAGGAGATACCAGGACTGTGTCGAGGAGGAACCTGCATCAACACCGAGGGCAGCTTCAAATGTCAATGCCCGCCTGGTCACGAGTTGAGTCCTGACAAGCAGTCCTGCAAGGATATCGACGAGTGCTCGAGAACCAGTGGGATCTGTTCGAACGGCGTTTGCGAGAACATGATGGGCACTTATCAGTGCATATGCGACGATGGTTATCAGCAAACTGGATTGAAGTCTCACTGCGAAGACATAAACGAATGCGCTACCAACAACGGTGGCTGCGAGGACATCTGCCTGAACATGCCTGGAAGCTTTTCTTGTTCTTGCAGGTGAATTTTCTTTAATCAGAAATTTCTATCGTTATGGAAATGAGAATTGGTTAAGATAAGATTTTAATTCTTGCGATTGTAAATATAATTCTCTTATAATAGAAATAATATGGCGGATTAAAAAATGGGTGAAATTAGGAATGAAGTTAAAATTCTAAAAATTAATTTAGACATCTAAACGAATATAAGTATATTCTAATACATAGTAAATCATCTTTCATTTAAACAGCACTGGATTCGCGTTGAATCTCGATGGTCGATCGTGCGTGGACATCGACGAATGTAAAGAAAACCCGCGAATCTGTAACGGAGGAAAATGCACTAATATAGCTGGCGGCTACATATGTACTTGCACCGATGGATTAATCCCTGGCAAGGATAGTGCCTCTTGCATTGGTAAGTGTAGTCTTGAGATTAGTCAACTTTCAAAATCTCCAACATTTAATTACCCAGATGTTATAACTGTTCAGATGTCGACGAGTGTACCACGCGGCCAAACATTTGTGGCTATGGTGAATGTTACAATACCATTGGTTCTTACAATTGTCGATGCGAAGAAGGATATTCGGTGAAGCCAGACCAAGGTCCAGGATGCACCGACGATGACGAATGTCTCTTAAACGCGTATTCCTGTAGCGAATTCGCGGAATGTCAGAACACGCAAGGTTCATATGAGTGCACGTGCCATGAAGGTTTTGTAGGGAATGGGGTTGAGTGCAGAGATATCAATGAGTGTCTAACGAATAACGGGGGATGCGATTCTAATGCGCAGTGTATAAATACCGAGGGATCCTTTAAGGTACGCATTATATAAATCAAATAAAATACAGTGAAATAATATTTATCTATTAATATTATTATTATAACTAATAATAATATTATATTAACTAATAATATTAACTAATGATATTAACTAATAATAATGATATAGAATTTTATCAATTCTTCACACATATATGATTTTTTATTTAAATAATATAAGTTCAAGAATTGGATCAGTCAGTAGCAATTCATTTAATCAAGCAATACGTAACATTTTCAATAAATACAGTTCAAGCAAATAGAATTCTCGTATTCAATATTATACGTACATGTTCGAAACAATTAGAGGATCGCTATTATAATCAATTTTATTGCATAAGCAAATAAAAGAAATTAGAAAATGATTCCTAATTGTTTTAGTGCGTCTGTGACGCTGGCTTTAGAGGCGATGGCTATGCCTGCAAGGACATCGATGAATGCGCCAATGACAATACTCTCTGTGAAAATGGACACTGTCTCAATTACCCTGGGTCATTTCGATGCGAATGTGAAATGGGCTTCATGCATCCTGACGAAAATAACGAGCAAACTTGTGTGGATATAAACGAGTGCGAGATGTTCAGTAATCTCTGTGTATTTGGGCGGTGTGAGAATATATTCGGTATGTTCCGCTGCGAGTGCAACGAAGGCTACAAGTTGGATGGTTCAGGTGGAAATTGTACAGATATCGATGAATGTGAGAATCCACAGTCGTGTCAGTATGGCACGTGCATAAATACTCAGGGGAAATATATTTGCAAGTGTCCGCCTTATTACGAGTTAGTCGAAGCTGGAAACGCCTGTGTAGGTAAGTGACTCTTTTTACATTGATTTTTCTAAGAATTAACTTCTTAAATCAGTGCATTCAGTGCAGTAAAAGAAATGGAAATAAGTGGAAATTCTGGTGATGGAAACTGATATTCGTATAAAATTTATCCATTTGTACTAATTGTAATATTTTACAATATTTAAAGAAAGAATCATTTTTCATTTAAAAAGATGCATGATACAAATTTTTAAAGTGAATTTAATATTACAGATAGACGAAAATCGATGTGTTTCACCGGTTTCGAACACGGTACCGGAAAACCGCAGTGCATCTTCGACGTAGCTTCTTCAGTTACCAAAGCGACCTGTTGCTGCAGTATTGGCAACGCTTGGGGAAATCGCTGCGAGGAGTGTCCTCGCGCTGGAACCAAAGAATTCGAGGAATTATGTCCCGGTGGTTCCGGGTACAGACCCAATCAGGAGACTGTCATTTTAGAGGACATCAACGAATGCGAGGAACACGAGAATATTTGTCAGAATGGTCATTGTACTAATACTTTTGGTAGCTTTATGTGCTCCTGCAACGAGGGCTTTATTTTGGATGACACTAAAACCAGTTGTATAGGTATCATTGAATTTAATTATTTTAATTATTAAGTACTTTGGATCTGAAGAAACTCATGGCTTAATTATTCGCATCTGTATAGACATAGATGAATGTGCTTTGCATCCACAAATATGCGGAGTAGGTCGCTGCATCAACGATCAAGGAAAATATCATTGCGAATGTCCGGAAGGATATATGGCAATGCCAGGAGGAAGTAAGCAAATATCATTCGTGTTATTATATGCGTAACAAAACTTCCGGCATTTAATAAACTTGAATATTTTCCCAGAGGAATGTGTCGATATGCGAAAGGAATCGTGTTACCTAAATTACGAGGATGGTCAATGTTTCAATCCCATGATGCAACCACAAACGAAAATGTTGTGCTGTTGTTCCATGGGAGCTGCTTGGGGAAGTCCTTGTGAGAAATGTCCAGCTGATAGAACTCGTAAGATCCGAGAAACTTTTTAATAAGATACCCATTAGAGAGATTAATAAAATATCGATGTTCTGCTTTTTTAATCTCTGTCACTTCTTGCTTAATAATAATTGTCATATTAATACGAATTAACCTCTAATTATTAAGATTAAATGTATCGTTTAGGAGAGCACGACATTCTATGTGGCATGGTACCAGGTCAAATAATGAATCCCATAACGAATCATACGGAAGAAATCGACGAGTGCGCCCTTATGCCAACAATGTGCACTCACGGTCGTTGCATGAATACTCCTGGCAGTTTTGAGTGCCAGTGTGATCGAGGATACGTGTATGATCAGGATTCGCATCAGTGCATCGATGAAAACGAATGTTTGCAGGTAAAACAACGTAACATAATCTTTCAAATAATTTTCGATCTATAAATACTATTGCCTTAAATGTAAAAGGTTAGCAATCAAGTGATAACAAAAATTCAATTATATCTTTATTATTATATTATATAATATATATCACAATTTAGTTATACGTATATTTTTCAGTGTTGATTTCTTTCGTTGGATGGCTATTTTTATTTAGGTATATTTCTCAAAATATTTTTATTCAACTACTTTATTTTTTCATTCAAGATTCCAAATCCTTGCAGTGGCAACGCGCAATGTATAAACAAGCAAGGTTACTTCGAATGCGTTTGCCCAGCAGGATACAAACTAGGCCTCAGCCAACGAGACTGTGTGGATATCGACGAGTGCTACGAACGACCCGGAATTTGCAACAATGGTGCATGTAACAACTTGCAAGGTAGCTTCCAGTGCGTCTGCCGTCTTGGTTTCGCATTAACGAGAGATAGAGATAACTGCGTGGACATCGACGAGTGTCAACGCAATCCGAATATTTGCAACAATGGAACTTGCGTAAATACACTTGGATCGTACAAATGCATCTGCTATCAAGGATTCAAGCTAAGCCCTAATAATGATTGCGCTGGTAAATTCTATTTTATCCACAAAATTCTTCTGCTCTTATTTCACGAATAAAATGTCTAAACTTTTTGAACAGACATCGACGAGTGTCGAATAATGCCATTCCTATGTCGCAATGGAAGATGTCGAAATACAATTGGCGCTTTCAACTGTGAATGTGCTGATGGCTATGTGTTGGCCCAAGATGGTCAGCACTGTAGAGACATCGACGAGTGTCACGAAGTAAGTTGTTCGTAGGAACAAAACTTTTCACGATTCTAACTAATCCAATATCGTAACTGACTGAAATCTTGTCGAAAATATCACAAAACGAATAATTGCATCAGATTCCTGGACTCTGTCCGTCACCAGGAAAATGTCAGAACTTGATGGGATCGTACATATGCAACTGCCCTCCGGGTTACGAGTTGGATCACACGAGAAAGAAGTGCGTCGGTGAGTAAAATATTCAACAGACTACGTAACGTGATTCGAATATTTCAATTATAATTGAAATTTATATATCAGATGTGGACGAATGCGAGGAGACGCAAGGAATTTGTGAAAACGGTCGCTGCATCAATACAGAAGGAGGAGTGATCTGTGAATGTCCTGTTGGATACAAATTAAGCGACAAACCAAATTCGATGCGGTGCATCGATGTCAGAGAAGAACTCTGTTACGATCGGTATATAAGACACGGTGCACGATGTTCTTCTCCTCGAACAGGCGCCATGACGAAAAAACATTGTTGTTGCACTATGGGAAAAGCGTGGGGGAAATACTGCGAAGAGTGTCCTCCAGAAGACAGCGGTAAGTACTTCTTCTATTATAAATAATTTTTAAGAATAACAATAAGTAGAAAATACCTCAAAATCTTAATAAACGGTGATAAAAATCATTGATTAAACGATAGAACTAAATACGTAGGACGATACTATATCTACGATAGATAATTTAGTCTAATTAAATTTTTGTGTACATTTTTTTATATAGAGGAATTCAAAAGGCTATGTCCGGAGGGACCAGGCAGAGATGACACAGGGATCGACTTGAACGAGTGTCTGTTCATGCCAGATGCCTGTGTCGGTGGCGAGTGTATCAACACTGATGGTTCCTTCCGGTGTGAGTGTCCCTCTGGATACGTATTAGATGCAAGTGGCAGGCGTTGCATTGATAATAACGAATGCTTGTCCCAACAAAATATCTGTGGCAATGGAACGTGCACGAATATTGACGGTGGTTTCGAGTGTTCCTGTAACGAAGGATTCACTCCTGGAGTAAATCAAGTTTGCGAAGATGTGAACGAGTGTCTGGAAATCGGCAACCAGTGCGCGTTCCGGTGTCACAATGCGCCTGGTTCTTTCAGATGCATTTGTCCTTATGGTTACACTTTGGCTCCCGATGGACGACATTGTATAGGTATGAATATTATATACGTACAACGTATCATTTAAAACATTTTGTGGAATATAAAGCTTGTTTTTCTCTTTGCATTATACATTTTTTCGCGCGCATCTTATTTTCATTTCATTGATACTTATACTTTACTCGCCCCTAAGTATGTAGTTATAATGTTAAAAAATAATGCGAGAAACATTGTCATGGTTTTTCTGAGATTTCTGACAATTAAATCACCGGATTAAACGCTGTACAATTATCTTTTCAGACGTGGACGAGTGCGCAACACCAGCGAACAGTTGCAAATATCAATGCAAGAATCTTATTGGTTCCTTTATGTGCATCTGTCCACCTGGATATCAACAAATCGGTATGGCTGACGAGTGTAAGGATATCGATGAATGTGCGATTAATTCAGGCCTATGTCGAAATGGTCGATGCGTCAATCTAGAGGCTAGTTATCAATGTCTCTGCTATGATGGCTTCGAACAGAGTCCTGATGGAAAATCTTGCATAGGTATTAAAAATTAAAAAAAGGAAACAAGTATCAAACTACTCGATATTAAGTTCCAACATTGTTTTCAGATCGCAGAATAGGTTATTGTTTCTTGCAAACGATCGCTGGCAGATGCACCACAAGAGCTTCCGACGTAAAGACAGTGACAAAAGCAGACTGTTGTTGCACAATGGGCGCAGCTTGGGGCCCGTATTGTGAGATTTGTCCATCCAAAGATTCTGACAATTATAACGAACTCTGTTTGGACAAAGGTTTTTCAATAGACGGTCAAGGTACTTGAATTTTCCTTCGAGTGGAACAATTTTCGATTATAACTCAACTTATATATAATCCGAAAACGAAAATTTCTTTCAGATATCGATGAATGTAAAACGATTCCTGACTTGTGCAGAAACGGGTTGTGTATCAATACGCTTGGTTCTTATAGATGTGTATGTAATAAGGGTTACAAGGCTGATAAATCTGGAACCCAATGCGTTGGTAGGTATTCGTTAGATTAATGGTAATTAGAAATTTGAAAATACAAAAATTCACAGATTTCGCATAGCGTTCAATAGAATATACAAAGATATAAGATTCCTTCAAATACATCCAATGACATTACGATATACTCATATTATCATCAACAATTATCTATCAATAAAATTGACTTCACGAAATATGTCCAATTCCAGACATAAACGAGTGCGAGCTAACGCCAAGGCCATGCAAATATAATTGCCAGAACACGGAAGGAAGTTTCATCTGTTCCTGTCCTGCCGGTTTCATCTTAAATCCTGATGGCGTCAGTTGTAGAGATCTGGACGAATGTGCGACTGGAAATCATCTGTGCCAACAGAATTGTATCAACACTCAAGGCAGTTACACTTGTGGCTGCCAGGAAGGTTATACGCAAGATGGAGATGCTTGTCATGGTTCGTAGAAAGTTAAACAACTTTTAATCCAGCTTTATCGGAAATTACGTAATTCGATATCTTTTAGATATAAACGAGTGCGACCAGGCTGGAACTTGTCCGAAACCGGGTACTTGTGTCAATACTCTTGGCAGTTTCCGTTGTATTTGTCCGAGAGGATTCAAGCTCGATCAATCTGGACGAATCTGCGTGGATCAGAACGAGTGCGCTGACGATACCACGTGCGAACACGGTTGCCAGGTAAACGAAATAGAAAAATGATTCTTACTCGTCGTTTGAATATCTAAATACCTACGATAGTCTTCGCTTAAATTCTAATTCTAAGTAACGAGACTGCATCATTTAAATTTAACACCGCTGCACTTTTGTATTTTTCTGGTATCGAAAAATATCTGAAATTTGAGAAAAATACGATGGAATTTTTATTGATACATATGATTACTCGAAAGATATTTCTTAGAATATTAAGAACCCTTTTATTTGATAAAATGAAAGCAAGATTGAAATATAAAAATTCCAAGATCATAGTAAGATTACACAACTCTGTTGGAATTTTATGGAGTATTATATACTATATGTTTACTGGGATTAGCAAATTTTTAATTACTTGATTACACTCGTAGAACTTTATGGGAAGCTACCGTTGCGGATGTCCCGAAGGATTCGTTCAACATCTTTACTATAATCAGTGCATTGACGAAAACGAATGCAACACATCTCCATGTGGGGACAACACTTGCATCAACACGATTGGTAGCTATAAATGTGGCTGCCCGGATGGTTACCAGTTCGATAGTAATTTGCAAATATGTGTTCAGGTAAGTGTCTGTGTTCAGAAACAATCATAATTTGAAGTACTATGGATGTTAAAGAAGAGATGCTGGTGGGTTTAGGTTAGCGCCGGGTGCATCGGAAGTCCTTGCGCCTTTGGATGCACTCCCAATGGAGCTAACGGTTTCATATGTGGATGTCCCACTGGATATCAACGAATTGGACAGGTTCGTTTTATTTAAACAAAAATAGATTATACAAAAGAAGAATTTCGCATTTGTAAAATAATGTAGTTGTAATATTTAAACTACGTATTTTAAATTTCAATATTTGAATTTTACATCTTTAACCTCGTAATCTAATTTTAATACACGGATTTTGCATTTTTTAATTGAAACTTCAATTTTATTTGAATTTGATATCTTTCATTTCGACGACCAGGGTCATTGTCTGTCGACGATAAACCCACTATCGCAAGGACATTACGGCGAGGATATTAGCAACGCGCCCACCTTCGTGATAAATCCAGATCCTTATCACATACCACCTGCGGATGATAAAACTATATCGACAGAAGGTTGCTTCTCTTGCAAGGTATCTCAAAGCTCGATCTTAAAACTGAATCATTTTACTTCGATCAAACGAACAGGTGAAAAGAGTCGATCGCTGTTTTTCAAACAGGTCAATGGCAAAGGAAGACACAGAAGAGACTCACGATCGAAATCGATGGACCAAGAATTGAGTTCACGAAGAAACGAAATTATAAAGAGGCGGTTCGCCAGATCAGCGAAAAGGCACCATCATGGCGAGGAACATGTTCTTAAAATCAGTCTGAGGCAGACCCGGCACCGAATGAGAATCATTAAATTGCAGCCGGCTGTCAAGGTTCGTTCAAAATTTTTGTATCGTCGATTTGTTAGAAGAGTGACAAAATTGGGAAAAGCGTATTTTTCGAGAAACCGATTTCAAACAAGAAACTTCATGATCTTTCATTTCGCGAAAATGTATTTTCAATAGAAATACTTTTAAGAATTCTAATTTCTATCAACGTTAACTTCAAAAGTAATTATTTCTAAAATTATTCCTCTTGCAATTTATAATTTTCTGTATCTATTTGCAGGATGAAGACATGGAATACACGATAGTTAAAGGAAACAACGACAACCACTTTGAGATAGTGAACGAGCACGGAATATCGGCTCTTCACTTCCGCAATCGATTAAAGGAACCTGGTCAATTCCGATTGGTAATCCATGGACGTCCACGAAACGGCATCAGCGAGGAGAACGAGGTCTGGGAAAGGCCTCTGACCTTTAGAGTACACATAATAGTAACCGAGTAATTCTTAGGGAAACGTTGCTCGATGTTTCGGTTCTTTTAGTCAATTTTTACGTTGCCACTCAGAATACCGAAACGGAAGCTAATCCGAGCGGGAACGAGAGATTGCCGGGCTGAGTATTATACAGGCACGATTCCATTCTCGAATTAGACGCTTTGAAATTTGTGTTCATTTGCAGCCTGACTCGCGTCGTCTCACTGCCAAATAATTATTCTTATTCTTTCTTTTTACGTTGCTATGTAAAATGATTCTTTAACACTGCCTCTGCTTTTACGTATTTTCGTTCATTTTTATTTTTTACGATAGATATGTTGTTTTTTTTTAAACATTTGATATTTAACGATCGAAATAATCGAGTAAATAATCGAGAATGCAAATGTTTTGTAGAAAAATATTAAAAGGAATAGGTTAATGTTAAAAATACACATGGAAACACGAAACTGCCCTCAGAATCTCTGCCGTATGTTTTAACTGCCCGCAGTAACATGTTACACGTAGAAATAACACTCTAGGGATGTACAAAACGGAAATGAATTTTTCTATTAAACCTAAGTAAATGAAAAAGATGTATACATATACAGACATAGCTTTATATATTTATAAACGTTTATAGTCTACTAGCAGGTAACAAAACGAATTAGCGCGAACTGATGTAGAGATCGTAGATTAAATTAACCCTAGCATCGGCAATTCTTTTGATAAACTTTTTATTTTCTAGCGAAAATACCCGAAAATCGCTCTGAATTCATTCGATCATTCGATATTTTTACGTCAAAACTTATGCAAAAATTTCAAATAGCAAAAATTCACAGCATTTTGATTGTCTACATATAGGGTTAATCGAGATTATCAACACAGAAATAACGAGATCGGTAATTTTATACCAAAATTGTAGATGGTTCTCGATAAATGTCTATATTTCTCTCATACAGTTGCACAAAGTGCCTTCAGGACAATTAAAAGAGAATTATATAAGGAAGGTAATGTTAATCGACCCGATAATATGTACAATTTAATTAATAGCGATCACTGTGTAACCTTAATTGTGTCATTAAGGCGAACACACTCGATCGTTCTTACGATAAATATGTGAATAATTTTCTGAGACTATGACGGATAATTTTGTACAATCGGCGCGGACAAGAAGATTATTCCAGCCGAGATGGTTCACAAATATATGTATTATAAATCTACGTTCTTTTTACTAATATTCATTGATCTACCCTTTAATTTATTCAAGACCAAATAGTGAAATAATTGATCAAAGTTGCGCAAACGCAACATTATCGGTACATGTAGATAGATTAACTCACTGTATGTACTTGGATTTAAAGAAAAACTCCTATAATTCGGATAAAAATACCACCATTGTGGTATAAATATTTCAATTTCTACAAATTAAAATTATTAAATTGTAGGAGATAGGTGGAGCAAGAAATAGTGATTCAGAAAAATATTAAGCAAAACATTGTTTCACAAGCACAATGTTAAAACAAAATTTTGACAATATATATAAACCGAAAGAAAGTTGCTAATGAGATGTTGCGTAAAGACGATGTTGTCATAGTTCATTAGTAAATATTCAAGTGGGCATATCTAAATTTTCTGACAATAAACCAAACTTATATGTTACATCGTGTGTGTAAACCTGGCCAGGATAAAGTATGCAAGGAGGAAAATTGCTTATATTGACCGCATCGGGGTAGTTTTGTGGTGACAAAATGAACCCACCGTGCCTCTGATATCGCACACCATCCTTCCCCCAAATTTCTTTTTGTTGCTCTTTTATTTTCGGCTCCTGTAATCATGATGTTCAATATTCCATAGATTTATGATGATTTTGATTATGAACATTCAAAAGCAAGTTATCTAACATTATCCGTGCAATCGCAGTAATCCTCAAAATCAGGTGGATAATTACAATCAGGATCTGGCAAATCGTTTCCGGTGGAAAATTGCAGTCCTGGATGATTCGAATATACTTCTAAAGTTCTTCCTGAACCAGGGTGAATTATTCTTTGAGACAAAAGAGGGAAAAAGAGGTTACATTAATGGAAAGTAACCGAGAGTTAATATAAAGCATCTGTATTATCAAACGTCTGCAAATTTCAAATGTCTATATTTCTATCATACGGGTATGCGACTTTAGTACACTTTAGGGTAGTTTTATATTACGGCTGTATAATAACGTTGACACGTGAAAAAGCTATAAATTCGTATATCGTAAATAAACTATTCTATTGATTTATAATTATAGATTTATAATTATACCTGAAATAATATTATAGGACAATGGTAATAGTATTACACTATGAAGTAGCTACATGGTATAATAAAATTAAACAAAAAAAACAGGTAAATCGCTATAAAAAGAAATTGATCGTAAAACTAAGGGTAAAGTTTACTCTGCGATTGTATATGTAAATTGACTGTTTCTACACTTACCTAGCGTGAAATCGGTAAGACCAACTGCTGGGACTATTTATGCAGAGATTTTGATTGTAACCACCCCCTGGTACGATGTAAAGCCGCCTCTTGGTTAACTGAGTCGGTAAACGTAGGTCGAACACTGTACGATCAACTGGATGTATAGCATCTGTCGGCAAATTGTTCCTAATATCCGCAGGTGTCCAGCTATCTGCGTTCAACGAAATTAGATGTTTCTTCAATTCGCGTGAACCAGCAGCCTGTAGCAAAAACAGAAAGAAATAATTTGATTAACAATTGTCCTTTGATAACTGTGATTTTATTTTTTACTATATATATCGGGTCGCTGCAGAAAGTCCGTTCCAATTTTTAAGAAACTTGAGAAACTGATTGACATGAAAGATCATACTGAAATGTTTTCCGTCGTAAAACGTGACAGCTTCTGGAAGGATGGAATATTCAAGTTGCGTGAAAGGTGGAGAAAAGGTGTGGAACAAAATGCCACCTATATAATTCGATAAATTATCGAATCGAAATGTAAATCAGAACGAACTTTCAAATGAACGAATCATTTTTACTTTCAAACCAAATTCAGAGAAGCTTTCTGGAAAAAGGGACTCAATAAATAAAATAGTGACTTAAACATGCTGAACATACATTCAGCTCTTACATATTTACCATATACACCTATAGATCCATTTTGCAAAAAAATTCTTTAATTATAATAAAGCATGAAATTAAAACCATGCTGCATAAGCAGAAAATAGGATAATGTTGTATAAATAGAATTGAACGAGTTGAAGAGCATAGTAGGTAATGTTAATATCAACTTTACATGACCAGCGAGATTCATCAAACAATTAGAAGCAATGTTAACAGGAGTTGGTTGCGTAGCAGTAGCACGAATATTCATAAGAAGTTGATTATCGTCGGTCCAAGAATATTTAATCTGCGTTAACATATCTCCTGGGTATCCTTCGTATTTTGCTGGACTTACGTGAGACATAACCTGTTGCATTAAATAGATAGGAATAAAAACTGATAACTGAAAGAATAATTATGAAGATATTCACCACATGCTTCTTCATTATGCAAGAATTCCAATTAACATTATCAAATCCAACGAAGCCACCGTTAAAATGGTCAACGCCATTTTCATCATTCGGAGATAAACAGTAAATCTTGTTTTCAATCCTCATTTTGGCACAAGAAATGCGATTCACCACTCGTCCGATTATACTTCCTATGTACCTGTTCTTCAAATAACCTGATTATATTTTTCACGAATGAATTCTCGAAAACAATAATCAAATTGTTTGTTCATTTTTGACACTTAAAGAATTTTTGACGAATTTTTCTTTTACCCTCCATATCGTCGAATCCTAAAACAACATCACCTAAAATTCCTGATTGATTTGGAACTTTAATAGCTTGAATACCAGCACCCCAAGATATCAACTGCACCGATGCTTTGTGTTTGTTCGTCATTGTGTATCTGACGGAGCAAATAATGGAAGAATAAAGTAGGGAAACAGGAAATATCGAATGCACTGCCGGAAATAAGGTTTCATATTAGAACGTTTGCTGTCTAGAAAGAAATATTCAGTAGAAATTTTCATTTTTTAATTATTTTATACTTTCGTGAACCATAGTACAACGAGCATAAGAGTCCTCATGGCCGGCAGCATATGTGTGATTTACCTTCTAACAATTTCGAATGGTTTATTATATTTATTACGATCTGGCCTGGGAACGAGCCCAAAACCATCTTCCTCGATAAATGTTTCCGCTACGGACATGATGCAACGTGAACACGAATTTACTCTCTTTTCCGAACGATTTAATCCTCAACGGACAATTTAGCCCGCTTGCATCTCCACTTTTTCGATTTCCCGGTTAAAAAGCCATTCAGCCGACCTGTTTTCACGGACAATTTTGACCGTCGATCATCCAACGAGGTTACGAAACCGAAATACCTGTTCGAAAGAGCAGCAACTTCGCGTCGAGAAAGAGGAAGAAGAAAGCGAGTGTCAGTCGTACACAATGATGCATCAAAGAAAAGAATCCACGATTTATTCTTACACGAAGACATTTTCCGAAAGGAAATTCCTTGCTCCGAGAAATGCATTTTCAAACATTTAGACGGCGTGTCAGAAACGAAGAGTTCGTGAATTCATCAGCGTCGACACTCTCTTTCCGCGATTCTTATAGCTCCTCGCCGGAACTCCTCAAAGGGAAGTGTTTTCTCGAAAGCGCTCCGAGAAGAAACGAGGCGTGTGTATACGCGAACACCGCACAAAGTGTCATCAGTTCCACAAAAGAATTCGCGATTTTCAGGTGGAATACGAATAAGAGACAGACAGATAGAAGGCGGAGAGAGGAAGAGAGAGGGAAAAAGGGAGAGAGAGAGAGAATCAGAAAGCGACAAACTACGAGCAAAACCCATTACGCGAAATCAGGGTATTATCGTGGTTGCAAGCGAGCGACACAAATCCGACAAGCGCGTCTCGTTTTAACGCTTCGTCACCGTTCTGACGAGTCATCCATCCCTCCGGTTGTCACGAAGGACCGAACGCGTAAGCGTTACGGGGGTGGGAGAGAGACACAGAGTGTCGAGAGCGGAAAGGCCCCGAGGTGTCGTAGAGAAACAGGGCGCAGGGACGTGAAAAATGGAAGAAGGAAAATGGAGAGCCGCGAAGGCATTCGCATCCCCGAGGAAAGCGCGGATTCTTTCTCGGTGCAGCAGCCGACTGATCAGTCTCAATTCCCGCGAAGCGTTTCGAGGCTGCGGGAACACTCGGTGGAAATAATTACATTAATGGCGTCGGGCCTGGAGAAAGCTGTTGGATACATCGGCAGATGCCCACCCCTCTTGGCGTTTGGCTCTTCCTCGAGAAACAGAAAGCAGAAACTCGCCTCCTTCTCCAAGCCCCCTCCCCTCTCGTGCTAGTTTCAATGGCGAAACATGGAACTGACGGAATAATGCTCCACCCACGGGCTAAGGTATACCAACGGTATATAAAGATATATAAGGTATAGGAGTGTACCTTCTACCCTTCTGCTCTCCTCTTGCACTACCTCGCGCCCCCGTTCACCCTCCTTCTAGCCACGCACTCCCTCACTTTCTTCTTGACAATGCATAATGCCATTCTGCCGCGGTAACGGCAACAATGAACGCGCACGTCCTGCTGGAAAGTAATTATCTTAATGTCGACGAGCCCAGCGCCAACGAATGGAGTACACTCGCAAGCGAACGCTTGCCTTGTGTGAGGAATCTCTTGGCTTGGTTACTCCGCTTGCTTTTGCCCTCCCACCGTGTCACTCCCTTTCCTTTTGCCTTCCATACTTCCTTCCTTCCTTCCTTCCTTCCTTCCTTTTCACCTTCCTCTTCCTACCTTACCCATTCGCCCGCCTTGTCTCGTTGTTTCACTCTTGGATGCGGATTGTGCGCGGCACAATATCGATGCCGTGAACCGTTCCCGCGATATCGTGACAAATCGCATCGCAACACGCGCCGGAATTGTCTCGCCGCTTGATGAATACGCTTTGGAAGCAACCGGGACGCATTACCGGGTTCGTTGGTTCCGGTAAGATGGACTTCGACGTCGTTCAACCCCTTTGAACCGCGGGGCAAGATGTTGGATCATTTACTTCGTTTCATGCATCTCCTACGTGTATATATACGGGATTTCTTTCGCGATTTTCCTGCTTATTTTATTCCTTCTCCTCTTTGACAATAGGCAGCAATTTAATAGGGAAAGTTTACTATGGTGAGGTAGAGTCATTTAAGTCACCTAAGCTTCGACACTTTACAATTCAATCTTGAACTTTGGTTCAAAAATAACGAATAAGAATGAGAAAAGTACTTTTAGATTCGGTAAGAAAAAATATGAAAAACAAGGAAACGATTCGAGTAAGTAATAAAATAAACGACATTAATATTAGTTAATACTCGAACAAATTTTCCTTTTGATAAATAGAAGTTACATCCAAATAGGTAACTATTGCCATCGAGTTGTCAAGTACACGATATACTTGCCTATTTATCGTAGCAGTATCGTACCACGCAAATTACTTAGTTCGTCGCAAATATCTCCTTCTGATTCAAATAATCCCATTTTACCTTATCGTATACCTAATCGTACGAACAATACGAGCTATACAGAGTAAACTTTACATATCGAGATGAATATTCAGTAACCGAAAAACGAGCGGAAGAAATTTATAAATCGGTATACTCGAGATACTTAAGAGCGGGCCGATAAATCGATCGTATTAAAATCGTGACGGAGATCGGGGCTCTGCGAGGTACGCGACAGCGTAGTTCGTAATTCCATTGGTGTGCCTGCAGGCGAGAGATCCTTTGTAATCGACACGAGGGAGAGGAGTGAGGGCCAGAGAAAAGGGAGAAGGGAACGAAAGGATAAAGGAGGAAAGAGAAAGAAAGAAGAAAAAAAAGTGCGTTTTACCGTGACCAGCTGGATCGTATTATTCCCTTCTCTCTTCCAATCTCAATTAGTCATTACGTCTCACGGCGTGGCATAGCTTCGATGCCCTCCTCGAATCTCCCCCAACGTCCGCGGCTGGTTTCTCTGCATTAATTGCGTCTACGTCGGTCTACGCCACCCCCTTGGTTCTCCATTCGTTGCCCCCTCACTCCTATTTCCTTGGCTGGTGCCAGGGGCTGTTTCGACAAGGATTAGTGTCGACGCCACGAACCGCATAATTCGCCCCTCTCCACGAGGAAAATCAGATCTGCGGCCGACTAACACGAGAATCGCTCCCTCCAAGACGTTATTTACGTAGTAAAATCCGCTGTCGCTTTGGCGATATATAATGATTCCCAGTCTAGCGTTATGCCCGATAATTGATCGTTACGAGCCGTTTGTGCGTGAGGCTTCCTCGGAGTAGCTACGAGGCGTCACCGTTAATTTCCATACAGGTTGGACGCGATCGAATCGCATATTTGTGAGCGAAAGGTACAATCATACGGCGTCGACTGGATACGATATGTATTTACTAATCTTCGATCTGAACAACCGACGCTAAAACTTATTACGAATAAAAGCTGCTTTTATCAAATAAAAATCAGATTGTACCGTTAGCGGTACTCGATGTTATAAAGTAAGAGGTTAAATTGACTCAGACTTCGATAGAATCATTATCACCTCTTCAAAAATATCTAACTATAACCCGGTATACGCAATAACGTTAAAACGTTACAATGTTACAAACAACTATCAGAGTGAATCAACGACAAATCATACACTAATAAAAACGATTCTCGAAAAGCTTCACATCTTATACGAAGAACCACCCTGTAGATCGCACGTGTGTTCGCTACTGCTCATGCACGCGGTGGGCTTCAGCCGATCGCCAGTTACTCGAACGCGTTCTCGGGGAGTGCCCCAATCCCGATGCACGGTAACGGTGCGCCCACTTCACCCTCGCCATCCAAGCCGTCCAACAACCCCCTCACCCACCCACAAAACCGGAGAGGCAGTCGCTAATTACGCAACGCGTTCGAGCGTGTACGTCGGGGTGGCGACGTAGCACCGTCATGGGCCCGTGTATCCCTCGTCCTCGCCCCGTCTCCACCTTCCTTTCTTCCGTCCTACCCCTCTCTCCGTATGCCAACCCCTCTTCCTCTGTCTTGTTCCCTCTTACAAGCCGCTTTCTGGTACTTTTACGATTGCCTATAATCACCCAAAGTACGCTGCGATTACGTTCCCGTTCTGCCCCACCTGTTTCCAGGACCAACCCCTCTTTACCATCCCTTAGCCATCCTCCGCCACCCTTCGGATCCCCCTTCACGGTGACGAGGTTGCTTCTAACAGCTTGGCCGAGTCGAGCAGTCGACTTAATTTGCAGGATCAACGTTGAAACGTCGCGCGGATAATTCAGCGCATCCGAATTACATGCTCGGCGTCCTGTCTAGATAGGATGAGCACCTGCGGATTTAACGGAGGCGGAGAACGATTACTAATTAGCCGGGATTTCGCTACCTCAGTGAGAACTACCCCCGCTCAATGCACGTGATCTCCGGAAGGATGGAGGTTTGTAGACGTTTCTATTCGATTTGCGACTAGAAGAGCATTCTTTGAATGGGAATAGTGATGCTTAATACGTTAGCGGATTGTAGTAAATGTGTACTACAGATAGCGGAGTCAATTGCTTGTTCAGCCGTTTTTAATGTAAGATTTAATTGCTTACAAGTTGAAAAATAAGTCTCAATTGATATGTATCAAACTAACACGTAGAACTTGCAAAGTCCTACTTTATGGTTCTGAGTATGGAAGGAGGAAGTTTGTCAAAGTTGAGTCAGGGTTGCTCGATCGTTTCATAGTAAGCTAATTTCATTACTTCCCATCATATTCACATTGATTTCACACATCCGACCAATTATTCTAACCATAATTAATCGATCATTCGACTTCGAACTTGTGCTACATATAGCGAATAACTTAAGCGAATAACTTAATCAAAGATGAAATCAATATAATTGTTTTGGTTTCCCCACAGCGGGTGCTCCAGTAACACAATCAAATCGCGGTTATAGGTAGACCAAACGGGGTAAAAGAGAAGAATAGATGAGTAGATGGAAGAAAGAGTAGGAAAGAGAAATATATCAGTCGCAAGGCGAAATTCATTCGCGAGCTTGCACTCTCGAAATCGTAATCTCTGGTGAGACAAAAGCCAGGGATTGTTCGGGTCCTGCGATTCTCGCGGCGCTACCATTCAGATCGACCTTGGCAATAGGGTACAAAAACATTAACGCGCAGTCCCCAGACGGATCTTAGACTCATTCGAAATTCACAGCACCCGAAGAAACGAAGAGCCTCTGCTTATCTAACTGAAAAATAGTGGAAAAGAGACAGAGAAGAAGGAAGACGAGAGAGAGGAAAGTGGTGTGGGCTGCGAAAAGATTTTGTTCCTAATGGCAATCATTAAACGAGGACAACGGGTTTTCATACGTGCACGCCTAAAGATATGCAGCTTCCTCGAATGGTTGAAGGTGGATGACGTAAAGCGATGAAAAGAGTGGGTGACGCGGTTGGGGTGTATTGGGTGGATGAAGAAGAGGGAGGAGGCTATACTTAAATTACCTAGGAAGCATCGCTGGCATTCATACGTGGGATAAGCATTGTCATCCCGGGGGATTGTCTCATAGACACCTCACTGGCACATGCTTTATGTCGTAGAGGGTAGCGGAGAACCGGTGCAGAGGGTGGTGGTTCGGTGAGACAGGGGCCACGAGGTGGAGAAAGAGGAGGATAAGCGGGGGGTGGCAGTCGAACCTTTATTAGGTAGATAACCGAGATGCGAGCTGCGTTATATAGATGCCCATCCACGCTGAGCTGCCTCGTTTTATTCACTTCAATGCTTAATGGAATTGAATTCTTGTAAGCGCTCTCAGCCCCTCCGCTAGTCACCTCGTTCGCCCACCGCCCAACCC